CCAAGCCTAGGGTATTGCTTAAGGTATTGGGTGAGTAAATTTCCTTCTTACACAAAGGCTACCTTTCCTGATGGGCCCTCATTTTCAGGGCTAAGCAGTCCTTCCTCAATCTCGGTCATGAATATTGATGGCAAGCCTACCTGCCCCAGGTGTACTAGCCCTCTAACTCATTCCTTCCTTATAATCCCTTTGTGCCTGATCCCTCTGTTGGGTAGAGACATTTTAAATAAGTCAATAGCTTCCTTAAACCTTACTTTTGATCTCACAGTACCTCTGCTCCTTCCCCTTCTTTCACCCTACCCTCAGGAACTGGCCCTATAGGCCTCATTTGCTTCCCAATGTTAACCCATCATAAAATGCCTCCTTTCTAACAACCACATTACTCCTACCCACTCTCCCTGCAAAACTCCAATCTTACCAGTAAAGAAACCAAATGGTACTTATTGCTTGGTCCAGGACCTGCATCTCACTAACGAAGCTGTTATCCCCATTCACTTGGTAGTTCCTGACCCCTATACTCTTTTGTCCCACATTCCCCACTCCACTATGCCTCTTTCACCATCCCCCTTAACCCAGCTTGTTAGCATTTATTTGCCTTTACCTGCAGCCCCTCTTAGGACAGTTCTAAGGCAAACACAGCCCAATTCCTTAACTTCCCTCTCCCTCCAAGCCACAATTATCTTGTTCCTTGGTTATCTGTTTAGGCCTGTGCCCCACCACCACCACTTAGGGTTTAACTCTAAATAAATGCCAGGTCATAAAAAAACCTCCAACCACCCCTCCCTGGCAGCAGTAGAGATTTCTAGCAAAGCAATGAAGCACAGCATTCTCTAAACACAAAACTTTGACAGATAACTCCAGCTAGTCATGGACTCCACCTCAGAATCTCTCTCCTCCTTACAGCGACAGCTTACATATCCCTGTCACAGGGAACTGTGGTGCATTAGATCTGTTAACAGCTGACAAGGAAGGTACGTGCATGTTTCTAAGAAGAAAGTGTTACTATACTAATAAGTCAGGAGTGGTTGAGCAAAGTGTTAAGGTGTTAAAAACCATGTCCGAAGAGATCAAAAGTCGCCACTGGGGCAATGCAGCAACCACCTCCTAGTTCCAAAACCCCATTATGTCCTGGTAAGACCCCTGGTAATAGTTTGCTTGCTGTTACTTTTAGCCCCTTGTCTTTTTAAGTTCCTTCAAGAAAGAATGAAGGACATATCTAATCTAACTGCTAACCAACTCGTTACATCCTTACAGCCCCCTACCTGCCAATGCTGGTCCAAACCATTCCAGCCCACAGCCCGCCACCTCCCCAACACACACACACACACACACACACACACACACACACACACACACACCCCGCACTGCCTCATTGTTCCATACCAGCAGGAAGTAGTCAGATCATATATCAACGCCCCTTTATCACTAAAAAGGCTGGAATGTTTGGACTAAGTGGAAGCAGGTCAGGGCCCTGCACTTCCCGGAAGTCAGCAGCACTGGTGAAACCAGATGTTCTGAGTTTAAAGAAAGCAGCAAGGGGTCGACAAGCAATTCTCAGAGTGTCCAGACCCCATATGTTAATTGCCATACATCCCTCACCACCTCTTTAAAAACCCACACCCCCGGTTGTTGAGCACAACTTTCCTGACCTGTTGGCCTAGGTCACAGAACCTTGTCCAGAGCTCCCCTCTAATAAAGCTATCTCTGTTTCTACTCTCCTTTGTCCTGTCAGTTATGTCTAGCCATCTCCCTGTGCCTCAGTTTCACCTTTACAGTGAGACTTCCTTTAGAAAATAGGAGGGTAATATAACACAGAGCAACAGTAATTAATACAGGAGATTAATAACATAGAATCAGGCAAAGAGAACAGTATCAGGATGACAAGAGTCTAGAAATGTCTGTGAATATGAGAACTTCATGTGTAATAAAACTGGCATCAGATAACACTGAGCAAAAAATGGATTATTTATATTTAATATGTAGTATTGAGAAAATTAACTATCTCCAGAGAGAAAAATAAATTGGATCCTTATCTCATACTAAAAAATATATTCTAAAAACCTAAATTTGAAGGGTCAACTATAAAATAGAATGAAATGTATAATTAAATTTAAAAGGAAATCTTTCTCTACCTTAAAAATCAAAATATACATTATATATTTAAATACATACAATATATACTCATTTTACATATTTATGAAGACATTTAAATTTTAATTTAAATGAAATAAAAGTTAAATATTGAAATATACATTTAGATACATATATTTTAAATGCATATTTGTATGTTCAAGGTAGATTTGACCACATCAAAATGAAAAGATTGTTCAATGGAGATTACATACCATTAACAGCACACTAGACATATTCTAAAGATTAAAACAGACAAAGTAGTCCTCCCTAATATATAAATGGGACTCTTGTAAATCAGGAAAATTAAGAATCCCAGTAATAAATAGGCAAAGTATATAAACAAGCAAACTCACAGAAAGGGAAAAACTGAAATGGCTAATTAGTATATAAAAAATGGTTAGCATCATTGTAATCATTGATAAGTGATATTACAATATTTTGACAAACTACTTTAAATCTATCAAGTTGGCACAAATTAGAAAACTAGATAATATCAAGTAAAGCTGCAGCTATAATGAAACAGCTACCCTCTCATGCTCTGGTAGTGGTAGTCATATTTTGGAGAGTGTAGTCATTCTTGAGAGTGGTATACAGAACCTAATAAATTTAAGTAAGTCTATGCTGTAGCATAGCAATTCAATTCAATACATCCCTCAGAAGCTCTCCACAGTCCTTAACGGGAAAGAACATACTCTCCGTGGAGCTGTTATGACAGCACTGCAAAGAGACAGAGTGCTCCAGGGCCTCTCACGGGGGAAGAGATACATAAACTAGGCAGCATTTTGCACTCGTCAGAAACACCTAGATTTATATATAGGAATATGGCTAGATTTCCAAAACAATGCTCTTGAAATAAAGAATAGAATGAGACACAGAACAATGACATTTATATAAATAAATTTACACATAGATGTGAAATCTTGCAAAATTAAACATGGAAAGTAGACTGAAAAGAGATATGTTAAAATATAAGGATACTCATGGATGGGAAGGGGAGTGGCATTACAGAAGGGAAAAATTAAAGACACATACAAGCACACAACTGGTTGGGGGAAAATGGATAGCTAATAACAATGAGTACAAGAAGGAAGAAAATGTTCCCCAGACTAAAAATAGCTCAGAAACTGGGAACACTCATGGAGCAGTGGGTTAAGAGTTGGGCTGTTAATCAGAAGCTTGGCAGTTTGAATCCACCAGCCACTCCTTGGAAGAAAGACGAGCTAATCTGCTTCAGGAAGATTTATAGCCCTGGACATTCTGTGGAATCCTACCTTGTCTTAAGGGTCACTCTGAATTGGCATCAACTTGATAGCAGTGGGATTGGTTTGGTGGGAAAGTGTTAAAAAAATTTTTTTAATCATGTAACAGCACCCAGCACAGTACTATTTTAATTAAGCATATAATGTTTCATGATATGCAATTACAGTGTCTTCATTACCTCTACTACTATTCCAGCTTTATGATGTAGTAGATACCATAAGGAATAATCCATAAAGAGTACAAGATTAAGTATTATCACTGCCAAAATTTATGATAACAATAGCAGAAGATGCTAATCTCCACCTTCTACTCCTCAATCAATCCATTTTACCTCTGTCTAACCTACAGAAAGGAATAGAGTTAAGTTCAGGAATCATAGTCATCTTTGAACTTAACATTATACAACACAGAACTTGCTCAACAAATGCTTGCTGAAATACATGACTGATTTAACAAGAAAAGTCGGTTGCTGGTTTGATATATGTTAATAAAGTTAATTAATCTGGCAGCTCTTTTGAACAAGCCAAAAAATCATGTATTAGTACATCTGAAAAAAACAATTCCAAATAAATGATAAGAGTAATGATTTCAAGAGACACAAATAAGGAAAGTATGCAAAACATATCAAGTCAACTCATCTCAGCTACTGATGAGTGGAGTACACTATGTTTCTCTCTTATAAACAGCTATGTTGTTACCCTTACCAATGGGGGATTCTGGAGTCAGCCCCATGCTTTGGAGCAATGCTTCAGCTTCTCTTCTTTTTTTCTCAAGATCAGATTCTTCTTGCACAGGAGCAACGGCTTCCTTCTTCTGATCACTCTAAATGTTTTAAGTTAAAAACCTAAATTTACATATGATATGAAACTGTTTTTTTGGTAAAAAAGAATAATTTAAATTAATGTGCTAACACTGTTTCCAATAACATTTATTTAAAATAACATACTAGCATTGTGTACTTTGAGACGTGATCTCAGTTTGGCTATAGATTAGTAATTTATAGTCATTCAGTAAGAATCACTCTCATTAGAGTTCTAGCAAGTAGTTCCAAATGATATGCACAAAAATTCACCATTTTTATCAAGAACTTTCCATAAACTTTGTCCTGAAAGATAAAAAGGTTTGGTTAAGTTCTAATTTTATACAGTCCAGAATTGCTATCTGAGGTTCAAGAACTGTGAACATGTTCCCCTAAATGGCACAAAAATTCAGATATAAATGTTACAACACTATGAAAAAATACAGAGTAGATTACTTAAGAGGTAACAAGTTTTAAATGGATAGTTTGATTTGTTGAAAAAGTATGAGTACCTCAAACTTCTGTATGAAATCTTAATTGTATTTATGCAAATTTATGCAAAGGATAAAAACAAACAAAAACACAAGCCCAATTTATTGTCATGGAGTTGATGCTGCCTTATAGCGACCTATAGGACAAAGTGCCACTGGGTTTCTAAGGCTATAAATCTTTACAGGAGCAGACAGCTTATCCTTTTCCTGCAGAGAGGCGGGTAGGTTTGAAATGCTGAAATTGTAGTTAGCAATCCACGCTTACCTGACAGTGCCACCAGGGTTCCTTATACATATGATTAAGTTGGATAAAATTAAAATACAGTTTCACATATACCAAACATGTTCAAACTTTTGCCAGTTTTTATTGCAGTCAATTACTATGTTTGAGCAGAATCATCTCGGACACACTCTTACGTGGCCATTTAAAGTAGTGATAACATATACAAATTTGCCTAAAGCATTTCTAAAGAAATAAACGTATATTTCTTCAAAGGCAGAAGGAATTGAAATATTTCTATCTCTAGCTCAGGGTCAACAAATATTTGCTGTATATCACCAAATGGTGATACTGAAAATCAGAAGACAATAGTACCTGGTCTACCTTTATGGCAATATCAAACTTACTGCTTATTCCATATATTTCAACAGCTAATCATGATAGTGGGGAGAGAATAGATCCCCTAATTAAGTATATTATCTATGAAAGATCTAGAAAGGGGCTTCAAAAAGATGGTGGAAAAACTCCATTATTTTTCAATCTCATGTCTATTCTAACACAGTTTAGGTTAGTAAAATATTCAGATAAACAAGTACAAAGTCCAAACTAAGTTATGATTTGTATAACATGTCTTATGAACTGTTATAATGCAGAGGCCCCTTACTTATAAAGCAAACACTGTCCAAGGAAACTAAACATGTAAATTGAACTTTTATATATCAAATCCTAGAAATCTATCAATCTATACAAGTTCATTCATTCACTGAAAAATAAATTCATCTTTTAATTTACAAATTGTGCATTTCCACATAGCTGATTTCTTTAAAGTATGATAGAACTACAGTGCTATAGTTGATGGATTTTAATTATTCTGAAATGATTACCTAAAGGAAGAACTATATGAAATAGAATCACACTCTTTCATACTAAACTTATTTTCTTTAGAAAATCAAACATACTTCCTTTTTTTTCCTTTCTTCTTCCTTTCTCTTCTTCTCCTCTCTGATTTGGGCCAACCGCTGCTTCTTACGCTCCAACTCAGCTTTTAATTCACTTTTGTCCGACATGTTGGGGAGTCCTTAAGAAACATGCAATAATTTAAAAAAATCATCACATGGGTAAAAGTAGTCCACACAAAAAGGTAATTCTTCGAAAACTGTAAGGTCTCACGGGGTTTAAGATGCCTGGATCTAAAGAGGGCACATAAACCTGCTTTTAAATAAGAGACTTGAAAACAGTGATAAACAAATGTATATAAGAAATAAACAATACCCAGTCTTGAGCAAAGCCTAGCAATGTTCAGGTGCCCAAATTTAACATAATACCTCAATTTGTTTTATTTTTTAACTTGTGATGTGAGTGAAAGTTTACAAAGCAATTGGTTTCCCATTCAACAATTTAAACACATTTTGTTTTGCATCACTGATTGCAATGCAGACAGTGTAACAGCACGCCTCTTACTTCCTCCCAGCAATCATCCCATCTGTTCTTCCTTCTTTCTTACCCTTTTCTGCCTTCTGAGCTTTACCCCTGTTACTGGTTACTGGTTCCAAGGAGTGCATCCCTCCCTGGAGTTACTGTTGACCTTATACGCCTGCCTGTTGTGTGGATGCAAGTTGAGCCAGTGCCAGATCTGAAGTCTTAGGGCTTCTGGTCACCAGTCTTTTATCAGACCAGTCAGCCTGGGCTCCTTTGAGTTTCAACACTTTCTGATGGCAATAGACAAACGTAAGTCAAAAAGTACGACTACCACAGTTCTAGTTCATACATGCTGTCATTGAGTCCATTCTGACTTGTAGCGACCCTACAGGACAGAGTAGAACTGCCCCTGTGGATTTCCAGGGCTGTACATCTTTATGGGAGCAGAAAACCTCATCTTTCTCTCACAGAGCAGATGGTGTGTTCAAATTGCTGACCTTATGCCTGGCTATCAAATGTTACAGCATCTGGGGTCTTA